ATAAAATTTTGGAATTTTGGGGAGAATTTGACTCGGTGAGTGTGGGCAGGAACTATACGATTTATAATTCCCCCTTCTCCTTTCCACCAACAGATAACTAGACGTTCGGTTGGTCTCGAACCACCGACCGTCTAGTTATCTAGATTAGATTGTTGACGATCCACGCATTCAAACTATACAGTTTTCTTCGTCTTTTGTTATGCGTGTACAGTAAAGAAATGGAATAATTTGGCGGCATCTGTCGTTCTATCCGATGGGTGTCCTCAAGGCAATAGTGAATAGGCTTTCGTTACGCTAAGACAGTGCGAATTACCATCTAGGCCTCCATATCCGCTTGCATCTAGACGATTGTAGTCAAGCAATTACTTAAAGTAAAAAAAAAAGAAAAGAACTCTTATTTCATACGGCTCTTTCGTTTCTTTATAAAATTAAAATATGACCAAAAATAATTTACTTTTTAGAAAGAGTATAAAAAAATTGTAATATACATAATTTAAATAAAATTACTTTAATAAAATTATTACTGTATCAGCATTTTATTACGAGATTCATTCCTCCAACTTTGTGCAGAGCACTTTTTGGAAAAATCACAATAAAACTAAATAGAATATTCATCGATTGTTTGTTATAGTGTTTAACTGGTAGTTAATGTCGTGATTTGGCGATTCTCTTCAGGTACTGAAGGTATTCCAGCAATTTCTAAAACTTTGAAAAACAACTCGAAGTTTACAAGAACACATATGTACTTCGCCGTATTGTAGTGACACAGGTGAATACATCACCTTCATGGGAAATGTGAAAGTGCCTCGTCACCTTCGACAGATGGACGGAGTAGAGCTTAAGGTCTGTGTAATTTGCTGCAATCGTGAATACGCCTACCAAGTGTGGCAATTAGGGCAAATCCTCTCGTCAATGAAAATTTTTATTGAAATGTAGAATATGAATCGTATAATGTATCCAGTGTTGCTGGAAATAAATAGGAAGATACATTTCTCGATAATGGAAAACTTTATAAAGATCTGCGTAGCTTAATGGCTCGTTTTGTTTCCAGTCGTTGAGTTTAATGGTGTCTAAAGAATTTCATTACAGAATGGAATAAAACGGCAACGTAAACGCGTTGAGCTTTTGATTGTTCGACGCATAGAAATAACGCGTATGATTTAACATATCATACTTACCTAGAATATGTTACTAAAATATATGATCTGTAGTAGATTGAAGATGAGAAATACGCTTTATATTTCACAGCACTTCTATAAACCGTGTTTGACTTCTAGTTAGTGCCGCCACTATGCATTTTTATCAGTTCAATACTTTCATCATCCTACCTAACCATTGGTGCGTAAAATCATCCAGAAGATACCTTTATGTGGACAACTTTTCCTGCTACATTTACTTTTAGTAATAAGGAATACTTTCAGTATAAGGCTCTGGCAAACAAATGTCGTCTGTAAATCTGTGAAAATATTGTACAAAAGTTGCACACACTGGTGAGAGCAAGAAAGAATGAGCATTATTATTGCGAGGATATCGCCTTTGCTCTCACCAACCCGCCTGCCTAGCGCGAAGAGTACGGACTAATCCTTTAAATAATACATTGCTGGGGCATTCTTGGTAAGGTATTTGTCTTGTGTGTGTGTGTGTGTGTGTGTGTGTGTGTGTGTGTGTGTGTGTGTGTGTGTGCGTGCGTGCGTTCGAGCGTGCGTGCGTGCGTGCGTGCGTGCGTGCAAGCGTGCGTGGGTGCGTGCGAGCGTGCGTGCGTGGGTGCGTGCGAGCGTGCGTGCGTGCGTGCGTGCGTGCGTGCGTGTGTGCTTGCGTGCCTGCGTGTGTGAGTGCGTGCGTGCGTGCGTGCGTGTGTGCGCGCTTGCGTGCGTATGTGTGTGCGTGCTTGCGTGCGTGCATGCGTGCGTGCGTGCGTGCGTGCTTGCATGAGTGCGTGCGTACGTGCGTGCGTGTGTGTGTTGGTGTGCGTGTGCGTGTGCGTGTGAGTGTGCGTGTGCGTGTGGGTGTGCGTGTACGTGTGCGTGTGCGTGTGCGTGTGCGTGTGCGTGTGTGAGTGCGCGTGCGCTAGCGCGTGTGCGTGTGCGTGTACGTGTGCGTGTTGGTGTGCGAGTGCGTGTGCATGTGCGTGTGCGTGTGCGTGTGCGTGTGCGTGTGCGTGTGCCTGTGCGTGTGCAGCGAGTGCTAACCATCTGAGCTATCACGTGTGTGTGTACATATATAAAAAGACTGTTCTTATCATTGTAATATTAAGAAATGTTTACTATGCTTGGAGTAAATTTGATATGAAAAATTATTCATTATTCTTTTTATAGGCCTGTTTAACAACCGAAAGAACAGGGAAATGCCTCAAAAGAAAGAGATTTTTACGTACTAGAGCCATGCTGCAGCTATTTTATTTATTTATTTATTCTTTATTGCACCAAATATTTGTACAAAAGGCGAGGTTAATGCTATATGGCATTCTCTACCAGCTAATCTTGGGTAGAACAGAGAGTGAGTTTGGGCAGTTAAGTTGTCATGATATAAATCAGTTTAAATATATACATTCAACACATACATATAATATACACATATATATAAAATATATATAAATGCACACATTTATACATATATATATCTCAATAAATGTATATATAAATAACTATAAACACATAAAGTAAGTTGACTCAACTTTGTAGGCTACGGATATGCTCATATAGTTTTCTTTTAAAAACATTTTTGTTAGGTATTGTTCGCAGGTCAACAGGCAATTTGTTCCAGAGGGTAATGGAAGTAACTGTGAAGGAATTTCACATAGATCCAGAATGGTGGAGAGGAGTGGACAGGAATAAACTTTGTGAAGAACGGAGATTGAGAGAATGAGTGTCACTAAGGAAATTAAATCTTTCTTTTAGACAAGGGGGTGAGGAAGGATCATTAAGAACTGAAAACAGAGTGGACAGGATTCGGAAATCTCTGCGCTGGCGTGTAGTCAACCACCTTAACTGAGAGCGAAAATCTGAAACGTGATCATATTTGCGCAGGCCAAAGATGAATCGGATACAGTTGTTAAGTAACCCGTCCAACCTGTTTAGCAGCTCCTGAGAAATATTAGTTAGACAAACATCGGCATAGTCAAATAATGGAAGAATTAGAAATTGGACGAGAAGACGTTTAGTTGAAGGAGGCAGAAAGAACTTAAGGCGATAGAAGGAACGAAGTATGCCTGTGACTACGACAAACTTGGGACACCTGTGATATCCAACAAAGAGACGGGTCGATAATTAAACCCAGATCCTTGACACTATTTCTGAAGGGTATAACGCAGTTTTCACAGTAAATGGATGGTAGTTCAGATATGTTAAGTTGTGACACCAATCGACGTCTACCAATGACGATGGCCTGGCATTTATTGGGATTTACCGTTATACCGAAGCGCTGTGACCAGTGTGATACACGTTGTAAGTCACGATTAATAGCTGCGATAGCAGAATCAATAATATAATCTTTATTAGTAGTATAGTTGTAGCACGAATGGGTGGGCTCGACTGGGGAAGTACCACGATCTCACAGAATAGCAGCTTAACGCTGCTATGTTTCGTATCGTATGTGTAGAGAACCGAAGACCCTTTTTACAGTAAATGAGGCATTCTATCTTGCTCCTCACGTGTGACAACGCGTCTGCATTTTGATTCTTAATCGAGGATAGATATAGATGTTTATGGGCCGCAGCAGCCACTTACCATCAGGTGGACTGTGTGCTCGTTTGTCACCCATATCCTATAAAAAAATTAATTAATTAATTAATTGCAGCCTTTCAAAAGTTCACTGCTGTATACTACACATATTTACAGTAACTGCAAGCTTGGCAGGCGGGCATGCTACCTAAAAAATCTAATCACTAAGACAAAAGAGATACATAAATAAAAGCTAAAACTAAGAAATATTTCCTGGAATAGTAGTAGTGTGATGTCAGTGTTATAATAAACATATAGTATCCGGAAGTTGGAACACTTCACTTGACCAGTCGGATTTGCCAGCGAATTTCTTAGTGCTTTTGTATATCGTAAAAAAAAAGGATTTTGAGAAAACTGTTTATAGATACAGTGGTATGGTTAACATTATTCATTCAATAAAAATCCGAACTGGTAAGCTTCAGACGCCGATATTTACGTTCACGGTGATTAATTGCATCATTGTTTCGGGGTCGGGACCGCTGTTTCGCGAGCTTCGTCCGATTCTGAGTGATACCTACTGCTTACAGGGTTTTACGTCTTTTTTACGACCGAAGTAAATAAGGCGTAAGATCATTATGCAGTCGCGTTAAATCTACCTGCAGTGTATTCCCGCCCGTCTCGGGCAGCACGCGCACACGCACACACTCTGTTGCGATGAACTCTTGGTCTTTTCTGCAAATTGGCTCATGATTACTTATACTATCACCAATCGAAGATTACATATGTGTGACAAGTGTGTTTTCTTTTTCCTTCACTTAATATTAATTGTTTCTTTATCGCTCTATGTGCTGACAATCAGATTTTTCTTTATATGTTGTTTCTAAATTAAGAATGAGTTTAATTACCAACTGCAATTATAGATTCATATTAGTAAGCAGATTTTAGAATTAATTTAGTTTAGTAGTTGCTTTTTGGATAACTTCCATTATATAAATAATTTTGCTCTTTCATTTTATAAACATAATTAAAACTTGTTTAGTGGTGATTATATATACTATACAACATCAAGCTATATTCAATTCTAGGAATTTATTTCTTTTTCTAATTATTTTATTTCTTCGTTATAAACTCTACATTAAACTGCCTTTAACACTGTGGTTAAATTTGCTGTATTTTACGTACGCGCGGTATCGTAAATCTGTCACATTTTGTAGATATTATATTTACATTTGCAATTATGATCTGGTTTCGTAGACATAAATACAAACTTAATCGAAAAGTACTTTTACATCCTTACATCCTTTAAGTATCCTTACAACAATTCTATATTTTTTCAGGAAAATGAACTTAAAACTAAAAAACGAAGTCAGAGGCTCTGTCAGTTTGTTGCATACGGCACCTGTATCTTCTGTAAAGGTAAAAGCTTTTAGAAATAAAAAAGTTGTGGGCTTGTATGACACGAATATAATTTTTTTTGTAACTTATGATTAACGCTTGTATATAATTTTGAAAGATTTTATACAGAACATATTGCATACTATCATTTATTCATTACAGCCTATTAAGAGACCACTGCAGAGCGTAGGCTTCAAAAAGGAGACGGTACTCAATTCGACTGTATGTTTTTCTTTATGTGTAACTTTTTCTCATAACTTTTTACGGGGTGAACTGATTTCGATGATTCTTTTTTTATTTGAAAGTTGGTGCTTCACATGTGGTCCAATATAACAATTCGATCAAGGTTTGACCAATATTTTTTGAGTTATTCTTAGTAATTTATATTGAAGTTGGTTGTATAAAATTTTAAATTTTAAATTATAGTTTCACAAGTAGTGGAATTTCGCTGCCACTACTCGGCATAGTTCTACACATACATATGCTGAGGTTTAGACCACAAAATTTGGTACAACTATCTCAAACATTAAGCTGTTAAATTATTTATTATTTTATATTAGGTATTTAGTTAACAACTTAATATATCTTAAATAAATACTAGACTAAGAAACTATATTTTGAATTAAAAAATATAGCAAATAAATTAGGAATTTGTAAAGTCCAATACTTTTATAGGCTGTAACGGTAACGGTTTTGTCAAATAAAAAAAAACCGGCAAAGTGCGAGTCAGACTCGCGCATCGAGGGTTCCGAACAAATCTGTAGGTATATAAGTTTAAAATTATTAAAAATATTTTTATTATATGATGTAACTAAAAATTTATGCTTATCGCAATTTTTCCTTTATCTGTGCTATAAAACGTTGCTTCATACCAAATTTCAAGATTTTGAGTTCACGGGAAGCCCTGTAGGTTTTGATTCTCTTGCGAATGTCGAAAATTTACGGCAAAAACGGCTGTATCTTTTGATTGCGTTGGCTTAGAAGTTTGATTTTTTCACAGCTCTAAGGGACAGTAGACTTGAGTATTTGATATGCATTTCAGCTTGATACCTCCAAGCGTTCCTGAGAAAAAGGGTCTTGACAGACAGACAGACAGACAGACGGACAACAAAGAGATCCTATAAGGGTTCCGTTTTTTCCTTTTGAGGTACGGAACCCTAAAAACACAATGAAGGCTTTTCTTAAATCATATAAACCGTTAAGTTTTAATGTTATCCAGCCTTATTCTAATTTTTAACCGACCTTAAAAAGAAAAAGTTCTTAATAATACTATATATTTTTGTATAGAATATTATGCGATATCTTCGCCAATTGTGAACAGATGTTATTGATTATTTTTTGTAATTAAATAAACCTTAAGTCGAATTTAAATCTGAAGAAAAATACTACTCTTAGGGGTGGATTTTTTCTTTGAAAATAGGGGATATAGTTTTTAATGTAACTTATTTAGACGATGTTTTAGTTACCTTGTAGCTTGTGGTATTGTTTAGTACACTCGAAAGGGTAATATAATTAAACTTTTAATTAAAAGTAAAAACTTATTTACGAAGGACTAATAAGAAAAAAAAATCACATATTAGGTTGTAAAGTCGAAGCTTTAATTTTAGACTATATTATACTAAGTCTTAATATCGATTTCAGAACCTATTGTATGGAAATAATTTCATTAATTTTTAATTGTTCATCTCAAATCATTTCGCTGAAAAATTATTTTAAAACTTAGCCAGTTATATCCCGTAAGTGAAATGAGAGAGCGAATTAGACTTATTCGGTATTTAAAGAGTTAGTCGCTATTTATGCAGATGGCAGACAAAATATCATAACCGGAATTCTACAGTGAGTACTCACTATTATAGTGCAGACTGTGTAATAACAATGTCCAAACAAATCCCGGCAAGCAATTGAATGGCAAACTTAATAAAATACACCAGCCACGTGTTACTTACGCCTACTCGCTCTAATTTTCGTTTCTTTGCAGAGTTCTATTCGTTGAATATCTTTTTAGTAGTAAAGGCACGCCTTTCGGGTGTAACTGTGGAATACATGTTGCTTTCCATTTGCAAGAATTTTTAGTACGTATTTCTTTTTAAATTGCTAACTTTCCTTCTTTCTATCTTTGTACTGAAAACTTTGTAATGTTCACATACGTACGTATGTTTAGACCAGAAGCTTTTTATTTAAAGCAACATGTAAGTAAAATTTATGTTTTCTTTACCATGTCATATATGAGTAGAGAATTAAGAAACTTGTAATTAACACTTGTATTTTATTAGGGAAGATTGATATAAAATTCATTTGTTTTTATAAAACTGAAGCGAAAAGTGAACGTTATGTTAAGTGGCTACGACACCCATGGACACCTGAAGCTAACTTCAAATAAAGTAGGCGATAGATGCTTTGTGTTGTGGGTATGACCGAGATGGAACGCCTCAGAGTCTATAATTACACTGCCTCTCTATTCCGACTAGAACACAGCTGTGCAGGCACTTGCTATTTATCGGCAGAAACATGTAAGAGGGTGGTACCTTACCTGACTTCTAGGTCGAAAGGGAGTCCTACCACATTGTCAAGATGCGTTTAAAATATACAATAGCTAACTATGCGAAGTAGTTTCCAAATTGCTCGTCGTTGGCTTGTTAAATTAAACATTTTTAAATTTCAGTTTCTCATATTGAAAACGTAACTTAAACGTAAAGTACAAAACGTAAACGTTTTGTTTTATAATATAACTAGCTGGCCAGGCAGACGTCGTACTGCCCTCTCCGACTTTGTGCTATAAAAATCCATAAATTACCAATAAAAAATATTGAAGGTCACTTAACGGGATAAGAACTATCCTATATCTCAAGTTGGACCAAACTGCACACAGTGTGCAAAATTTTATTGTAATCAGTTTAGTAGTTTAAGAGTCCATCGCGGACAAACAACGTGACACGCACTTTATAAAAAATTATAAAGTACGTGTCACGTTATAAATATAAAGCTTTGTGCCGTTTGACGAGTAGCAGCCCTTTCATTGATAAATTAATTCAATCAGTAAAATATTTAATAAACTAACAAAAAACTTTTTAATATCTATGTCTTCTTTTTAATAGAATAAGGGTGACAAACGAGCACACCGTCCACCTGATGGTAAGTGGTTGCTGTGGCCTATAGATATCTATATTTATCCTCAATTAAAAATGAAAATGCAGATGCGTTGTCACCCCTGAGGATGGAATGCCCCGTTTCCAGTTAAATGGGTATCCGGTTTTCTACACTCACCGTACGGAAAATATCAACTTTAAGCTGCTATTCTGTGAGAGCATGGTCCTTCCTCGGTCGAGCCCACCCATTCGTGCTACAACTACCACGTATAGTTTCAAGTTTAAAGTTTCTAGTTACAGTTCAAGTTTATACTTTTTGTTTTAAAACACAATACAGTCAGTTTAGAGGAAAAATGCAGGAAAATGTGTTTTATTCAAATCGTTTTTGTTTCAAGCTGACAAAGAGAAGGGTCGATTATTCACGGCTGCAAACGTTCTTAGATTCTATGAATAAAATATCAGATACAAGTTTACCTTTAAGAAATCAGACAACAGTCAGTTTAAAACAGTTCGTTATATTATGCTATAAAAATAAAAGCATGAAGAGTCGATTATGTGTAATATTGTCCCATTTATAATGATGGCTTTTTGATGGTTTTTGTTCCAATGCGTGTGGTGAACTTTTTACAATCCTCCCGATGTTTACTAAATAAAATAAAAAAAAATTGTGACTATCAATTTCACTACTGTCGGCCATTGAAGTTATATGTACACGTATCAGTGTCACATGAGTAAAGAAATCGTACCGTACAGAGGTAAAGCTTCATACAACCGCAATGTGATAAGTACACTACTACAAGTTTGAGGCGCATGTGTGCGTGAGCACTGGTGGCTCGTCACGTACAGACAGAAACTGCTTTAAACTGGCTCGGCCAGTGCTCAAACTCAGGGTTGTGTGAAAAATAATAAGTGTCAAATTTTGTTTTTTAAAGAATAATTCGTATCAAGTGAAATATAAAAAAGTTTAAAAATGATGATTTCTTATATTTACGTGAACACCACATAAAACCACATTTAAATAAATCTAGTTTTACGGATTTTATCGCGTATATTAACTTATTTTATATTCCCGACGTTTCGAACACTTTACAGCACCCAGGGGAGGCTGAGGTGTTTGACATCCCAATGTCATAGTTAATCACGGGTACCTCCAGATTAAAACTATTAATTTTTGTTTCGATTTATCTTTTTGTCCCCGTAACCATGGGTGCTGTAAAGTGCTCGAAACGTCGGTTATATAAAATAAGTTAATATACGCGATAAAATCCGTAAAACTGGTTTTATTTAAAAGTGTAATTATGGTTTACGTAGATTTAAATCTTATTGAGGTTGCCGCAAGAGATACTGCTGATTTTGTAAATAAAATTATTAATTTGTTTGATTTCTTAAACTCAAGTACACTGCGATCTCCTAATAAATATAAAAGAGCTTTTCGATCCGATAGTTATCAAATTGAGCTTTTAGAAGAAATGATAACATTCTTCAGGAACTTAAAATCAATAAGAAGTGATAGGCAGAAAGACGGTACAAATAGTATTACATGTATTTCATTCACGGATTTCAAGTGTCTATAAAATCTTTAATAAAACTTCATGAAGAATTAAAATGAGAGGAAATTAAATTCATTTATATTTATGAGACGTCTCAATCAAGATTGTCTCGAAAATTTCTTTGGAAAAGTCAGACAAGTCAGAAAGTGGTAACTGCCAGGAACCAACATGTCGTCTAGTTAGTATTGCTTTCAATAAGATGTTTACTACCAATATCTTAGGGAAACCTCAAAATACTAATTGTGAATACGAGTTCGATATGTTACTTATGAAACCAGACGATTGTCTTATTTTAATACAATCATCACCGCAACCTGACAATGTTACTTTTATTAAATGTTAAATTTATAATTTACCATTTAATTAAAAGCCATAACTAACTGTTGAAAAACAATAATTATAAAAGTAAAACATTTAGAATACGTAGTTTATAAAAAAAAAATTATACCTTAAGCATCTATTAAAATGCTGATAAACGTTTTGTTTGCATTTAGTTTTATCGTCCTGTGCCAACCCTACCAAAATAGGTAAAAATTTGACAGCTTCTTAGAAGCTTTGCCTCTGTACAGTGGGTCATCATGGTCAGTCAAATACATTATACTTCAATGCATGTCGGCGGTGATCGGACTCGCAAAGCTGGATGACATTTTGGGCGTCCATCGTTTGAGCTACAACTAAGGCTTAATATAGTTTTTACCACGTTACGTAAAATATAAAATTACAGTAGAGACACTACTTAATGCCATCAGTCTGGATATTTTATTATCAAACAGAGGTTACAAGAACTTCTGAGAACTATGAACAGCAATGAACTATTTTAAATGTATCAAATGTTGCCATAATATCAATTAGGAACAAGATGGTACAGCTCACTTTTGCTTAGGAAATCCTTCTGGATGGGTACTTGCTTGCTTATTATCCTTACTTATTCTTCTAAGCAGTATAGCATCCATTGTACTCACATTAATTACAGGGTATTGGGCAACCTTCTCTACCAAAAGTGACAACGCACCTGTAGCACATGTGTAGTAATTTAATTATGCACGCTAATTATGCGTAATGTAACTTTTAGCCCGGCCGCGAGACACTTGATCTGCATGTGGAACGGCAAAGTTATGTAAACTGACAGATGAAATAATAAATGCAGATGCAGTGTATTTGTATACTCTATCTTTAGCATACTTATATACTTACACATAAGTTCCCATCCACCGTTATCTATAATATACTCACATGAAAATACAAAAAAACTCAAAAAAAATATTTTTGTAATGTCATGCAGTAAGCTCGACTATAATATTTTTTATTAGAAAATATTAGAAATAGGGTCGATTACATAAACTATATTATACGAATTGTAAAAGTTTTATTTAATACTTTCGAACTTAGGTTTTATCGTAAAACAATGTTAAATTCACGATACCCCCGAGTTCTATTATAAGAATAAATCCTAACTTTCTATACAACGGGCAAAAGAAAATTAAAACTTTCTTTCACTTGATTCTGTTCCAGGAAGAAAGGCGGCGTAACGGTCGGTACATAGCGATTTTAGTTGGCATTTCATTGCTAATTTTAGCTTTTTACCATGCGTGGGTTCGACGCATTCCCGTGGTTGCAAGCCTCGTTGTGCCGGCTCTCATCATGTTCGTATACGTGGGGTGGGTGCTTTACACAGCATCAAGGGACAAACATAGGGTATGTTGGTTTGCAATTATTTATTATTTAAGTATTTCTTCTTTCTTTCTTTATTAGTTCGTAAGCAGATAATAATAATATATTCATAAACTAAACTATATCGAAACTGAACAATTACTTAATGTACCTCGTTAAATCTTATACTCAACCTTTTACACCATAGACTTAGAATGTACTGGCGTATTCTACACACATACATTGTCATACTACACACAAGGAGACTTACCTACACTCCACAACTCTATATTATTAATTGATTAGTGATCTGTCTTGTATACAGTGAAATGCATAATCTTTAAGGGAAGAGCGCTGCTGTCTGAAACACAGATATTAAGTTATTTCCTCATATATATGGGGGAAGAGGTAGTAGTTTGCCTCACCTGATGATAAGAGTGTCGACCGCTGCCCATGAACAACTGCAACAGCAGGGGAATTGCATGTGCGTTGCGAGCCTTTTAAAAAGGAGTAACCTCGTTTCTTGAAAGTCCCTAAAATGCCTATATGATACTGAAGATAATGCTATTCGGTAGTAGTAGAATAGTCTATACAAATACAAATAAATAAAATTGAAGTGTCTTTTTGTAATGTAAAAATTACAGTTTTTTACTAAATGCATATGAAAGTAAATACGGTATTTATAACTAAAATACAATTTTTAAAATTTTTGTCTGTCTGTCTGTCTGTTTGTTCTGGGTAATCTCCGAAACGGCTAGACCGATTTTGACGGGATTTTCACTGGCATATAGCTGATTTCATAAGGAGTAACTTAGGCTACTTTTATTTTAAAAAATAATTAGGGTTCCACACAAAAACATAAAAACCCTAACACGCGAGCGAAGTCGCGAGGAACAGTTAGTTGTAAAATAAAAAAAAAACCCAAATCCCATCGCCAAGTAATGAGGTGCAGCTTTACCAGTGCAAGTGTAAGTACTTCACTCCTACCGTGCTGAGGACTAGCAAATCTATATAAATAAATAAAATTGAAGTGTCTGTTTGTAATGTCAAAACTACAGCTTTTTACTAAATGCATATGAAAGTAAATAAGGTACTTATAACTAAAATACAATTTTTTTAAATTTTGTCTGTCTGTCTGTTTGTTCCGACTAATCTCCGAAACGGCTGGACCGATTTTGACGGGACTTTCACTGGCCGATAGCTGATGTCATAAGGAGTAACATAGGCAAGTTTTATTTTAAAAAAAGAATTAGGGTTCCACGCAAAAAAATAAAAACCCTAACACTCAAACGAAGTCGCGGGGAACAGCTAGTCCCCAATAAATTTATTTGACGCCATATTTAATTACTACTACAGTCATTTTGTATTATTCATTTATGTTCTCTAAATATGCCAGAATAATGAAAATGATCATTATCGCCATAATTATATTTGAAGTATTAAAACATGTAAAATACAAACTACAAAAAGATTGGTTTCCGCAACACTTTTGTAAGTCTTACTTCTAACATACTTTTACATACATTTGCTTATCACATTGTCGTGTGGAAGCGGCGTAAGAGATACTATCACCCGTTATTCATAAAGTCGACTTCTATGGGATATACCAAAAAGATGTTATGGTTTCCGACAAATGTCCGATATCGTTTACGCCAAGCGTAAAATGTCATGGTGCAGCGTCAAAGGTGCGAGTGTTTGGTATTGCATTCGAGAATCTGCCGAGGAGATTAAAACAATGCCTCTACAATGGGATAGGCCCATTTCAGAAGTCAGAAGTGGACTTTCACGGGCTAACGAAGAAAAATAAGATATCTCATGTATTTTTTTTTCTTACGGTAAATTGGCTTTCGTATACCTATATGTTATTAAATTGATAGTTATGTATTCTTCGCGGTAAATCCATTCAATTACTATACAAGTCCACAGCTAAGCATAGGCCTGTTCCATAGATTGTCTCAGGGGAAGGATTTTGCCATAGGTTTGTTATCACGAAGATATTGCCGGCCATCGCGTGTTTCAATTTCTCCCAGTTGCTTCTTACGACATTCACGGGATGATATGGAGTAATGGTTATTCTTACACAGTCACTACAATATTTTACATTAGTTGGTAGTAAATGCATTAGCATATCGTATACTCTCAACAGCTGTTAACAAAGATTTAAAAATACGCGAGTTTTCTCCTAATAGATTCTCATTCTTCGTACGTCGATAAAAGTTACCGTCGTCAATGTTCCTTTGATATGAATTTCTTGACTCTACTGAATCTAAATTAAGCCCCATCGTTAACACATACAAAACAACAGACTAGTTTGTGAATGTATGCGAGCTGACTATTTGATTCATTTAGAATCAATAAAATCTTTTGTGTCAGGAAACTTTGGCGCCGTTATCTGTAAAGTATTGTTGTTAGTGTTTTTAATTTTTTTTTGACGATATATTTACGAACTCAGTAAAGAAATGTTTTTGTAGTTTATATTTTTATATATTAGCTCTAGTTCAACAACGATGCGTTACTATTTTGTTAAGGGCTGATTTTTCAAACGTCAGTTAAAGGTTATCCATCAATGAAATTATAAACTGACTTAAATAAGAGAGAAACAATTAAACTATTGCATTTATACAATTACCGTGTGGTAGATGTATAAGAATATCCACTACCTCATATCATCCCGTGGGTGTCGTAAGAGGCGACAGAGGGAAACAAATCAGGAGATGGGCAGCAGCGTCTTCCTAATAACGGCTTAGAATAAAAAAAAACTGCGATTGCTAAGAGGCAATCTGTGGGGGAGACCTATGTTCAGCAGTGGACTTTAATAGCCTGTAACGGTAACGGTATTTATACAACTATATTTTTCAATTGATGTTGTATTTTATCCAATGAATAACTTTTGTTATAATTGAAACATTTATCTCTAAGTTGAGATAAATGTGATTGAAAATAATCAAACTATTATAATCTGCTAAATTTGTCAGCTTTATTATTATTCAAATAAAAGACAAGTAAAGTAGCCGACATATGCCGCACTGCCGGGAAAATCCTCATCTCGTTTTTGAGAGGATTTTAATTAGGACAGGAATAAATAAATCTGGCGGGCTTATTTACGTAATTTTACATAGATTTTTTTTCTACTAGGTTCCATGTTTTGAAGTTGAGTTTTTATTTTTCCAAATCATCCATTTTCATTTTAAAATACGAGTAGACTTCTACTTTTATTTGAAATTATCCCAAATTGAATGTGATTTATGGCCAACAACTACGTGAACGCGCGCTCCTCTGAGTGTGATTCAATTCACGTTTTCGCCGACCGAGCGACTCTTACGAATGTGTGCATGCGTAGTAAAATAGTAGGCGACAGATATTTATGAATGAAATACCATTCAGTTCAGTTCAGTTAAAATAATGCACTACTACGCATTCTGAATTTCAAAGATAAAAAAGTCAGAAACTTCGAGATATTTTTAAATAAATTTTTCTTCACCAATCACCTATATTACTTATTCTGAACCTTCTCTGCCAATTTGAGTGTATATTGCAAAATAACCCTGTGTATTTGGATGATGTTGTTCTTCTGACTGATTTCGAGTGATATTGGCATTAGAGTCACATTAATGTTATTCATCAAAGTTATATCACGTGAATGCTACCGAACCTAACGTTGATTTTATTCATTTTTATTCTAATTGTTTGTCGTGTGCGTCATAACAGGCAGCTATAGGTGATAGTATCCGTCAGATGGAGGTAAATAATAGAACGGCATTCGGCGCAAATTTTCCGATTACTCGGTTGAGTAAATTAATCAATGAACTTTCCTATGCATTTAATTTTAATTCCGACTCACCTAACAAGCTCAGAAAAGAACTACTCAAACATAATGCAGTAATAAAGTAATATAATAAAGTAATATAGATAAAGTATTAAGATTATTTTTTTAACGTTCTAGTTTGCTGTAAGTGTGTATTGTGCTTGATGTATATACCAGTGCATGTTGTAATCACCTATAATAGTTTGTAGCATTTAATATAATACATGATCTACTTAGGTATGTAAATTATAATTTTAACAATGTATACATACGTTGGTGATGCTTTAATAAATTAAAAAAATCATTTTGTTTACGCTAGATGTAAAATAGCCAGACCGGCGATGGGTATCAGCATCAAAGGTGTATATTACTGCAATAGTCAATTGGCCTGCCACGATGACGATAGAGGCAAATCCCATAAACCGCGGAGGCCTATGTCCAGCAGTATTTCACGGGATCATGAAGAAGAAGAGCGTAAAATGTATTATCTAATCGTCGCAGTAATGTAGTTAAAGCCGTGATATAGTTATATCCTTAGAGACATAGCTATAAACCGTAGGTGCGTATGTATATTAACCAATTTCTCGAAAACGGCTGAATCTATTGAAATTCTTTCTAATGACAAAATATTGATGAGGAAGATATTATTATATGAACATTTTAGTGTAACTGAATAGTTATTCAGACGACTTACTAGTTTTTTACCTTGAATTTCTTAGACCACTCCAAAGGTAAAAAAATAAGTTTAAAAAATTGTTTAAGTTCCTTTTAATTTTAATAAAAAAAATTCAATATATTCAATTAATTAGATGTTATAATAGCTGTAGAGTTAAATTTACAATATATTTTAAATTGACGATCAATATTTCTGCAAGAACATTTTTGTTATTTTTGGTTTTGGCTGTATTGTGATTCGCTCGTGATTAATACCACCATAATCTATTCTTCCTCCGATTTTATTCATTAACTATTACACGAGACATGGTTAGTAAGTATTTTGGATAGGAAATTATTAGAGAATTACTGTAAAGTTTTAAAGTATTAATCTTATGCACACACACAACCGCACACGCCAACACACACATATGCGTGGGAAGAGGAGAAAAGTAGTCCACCATTTTTGACATTATTAAATTCAGTACATAAGTGTAAACGTTATAAAGTATTTGGTAATTTATTTATTTATAAAAAGTGAATATTAAACCACTGAATCCGTGCCGTACGTAGTTAAATACATAAA